GTTTTTTTTTTTTTTTTTTTTTTTTTTTTTTTTTTTTTTTTTTTTTTTTTTTTTTTTTTTTTTTTTTTTTTTTAACCATTTCAGTGGATTTCTGTAGTAGAATACTGCATATCCTGAAACAATTTTGTTTTTGGTAGACTTATTACCAGCCTAATCTAAGTCTGAAAAATCCTTCCAATCTGTGTTTTCCTTTTTTGTTTAGCAGTGTCAAGGCTAATGTTTCTTTCAGATATCTCAAAACTCTTTTTGTCTGCTATCCATATTGATATTGTTGGCTTATCTTAAATACTCACTAAGATACAGTAAAAGAAATATCTGATCTCTCTTGTGAAGTATGCATGAAACTACCAATCACTTTACGATGTGGCTCATTCAGTTTACAATGAAATTTAAAATGTTTTTTTATAGTGATAATTGTTACATATTTTTTCTGAATTTCCTGTGATCCATTTTCTTTTCAGAAAATATGAAAAATTACTGCAACTAAAGGTAGAGAAATTTAGAACATAGAGAATATTACCATGTTGATTGTAGGGAGAAATCACTGAACTGATATTGCTGTTTTTCATTTATACTGAAGTTCCTTGATGTGCAAATCTGCAACTTTTTGCAATGCCATTCTTTGCAGCCTATCCTTGAAAACCTGAGTCTAGTATTTGCTTTAACAAAATAATATATTGACATATAAAAAATCAGTATTGAAATGAACATAAGATGTGACATTGTATACCATAGTTTGAAAATTTGGGCAACATTCAACTGGCTTACGATCATATGACTAAAAATCGTGAAAATGAGAGAGGGGATTACTTCATTTTTGTGGGGAATTTTTCATATTGGTCTTTTGATAAAATTTTTCTTTTTTTATTTATTTTTTTTCTTTTAATTAATTTTATTTTTAAGATTTTAAAAACATGAGATGCTGATATAAAAGTAGGCCAAAAAAAGCAACTTCAAACCAATGTAGATTTAATTTGGGCAGAGGGAACTTCTGATTTCAAAAGCAATCTAACATAAATCTTTTTTTTTTTTTTTTTTTTTTTTGTGGCAAGTGTAAAATATACTTCATTCAAACCCTACGCTAATCTAAGATTGCTTTTTTATCTAACTGTAAAATTTACATTGGCATGTTTCTATTCTAATTACATTGACTTTTTTTTTAAAATGGAAGCATGAAGTATGCTAGCCTAGTAGAAGTAGCTAGTTCTAAAGATGGCATTAATGAAAATTGTTTGGACCTCAAAAGTCTGGTATTTCAAGGAATTAAATACTTCCATGAAGTTATTTTGCAGTTTTATTTTAAACATATTGATCTCCATTGAAATTCCCAATTTTTGACTGGGCATCATTGTAAGCTTATTATCAGAATTAATCAATGTTCTTAAAATAAATTGACATTTAGAAATTAAAATGTGGAAAATATGCACTGTGTAAAAAAGTGGAAAATATGCACTGTGTTGTAGTTTTATTGCATTTTTTCAGTGATTTTATTTTTAATTTTAGAAGGACCAGCGAGCGGAGAAGAGCCCCAACTCACAATATCTCCTTCTACATATGAAGCTCAGAGACTTGAAACTGTTAAATTTCAGTGCCGTGTAACTGCTACTCCTACACCATCAATAACTTGGTCCTTTTCTGGTGGTCAGCTGCCTGAAGACAGCAGTCAACTGGGTGGTACTTTGACATTACCACGGGTTACAGAAAGCCATCAAGGTGTTTATGTGTGTACAGCTAGCAATGTCCATGGTACAGCTCAAGCCCAGGCTCGATTGTTGATTGCATCACGTATGACTTTTATTTATTTTGTTGTTTAAAAAATTCCCCCCCCCTTTTTTTTTTTTTTTTTTTCCCCAACCCATTATAGATTACAGCTATCTGGAGCAATTGTTTTACGGAAAATTTGTTTATTGAGATACGTAAAGAAACTGAGTTTTAAACATGGTATAAACTTTTTAATATGGTTATTCCAAATTTTTTTTCTTTTTGTTTCAACTGTGCCATAAGTTCTAACTTGTGATTTAAGGCCTCATTCAATTGAAACAGCGATGATTGCTCAAACAGCGATCGTTGTATCAAGCATTAGCGATCACTTTTGAAAACGAGTGATTTTTCATATTCATTTGAAACACTTTCCTACCAGTCGAACTCGTAGGGGTTGCCAGACGTTACTTGATGCGCGATGCTGTTTGTCACGTGGTCGGAAGTTGCGTTGGTTTCAAAATAACCAATGAAAGAGCTACTAGATGTGCAGGTTGACTCCTCATAACAGTTCTTTAGGGTTGCAGCTCAGGTTTGGTGTGCCCTCTTTGGCTTTTCAGCGCTATTGTTTCAAATTTGGATCCATGAAAATTCTTCAAAGGTATCATTTTATTTTAATTCCTTTATGAAAACAAATAACATAAGAGACACATTCCATTCACATAAATCATATACATGTGAAAAACATAGGTCAAGTAAGTTTACGTGCATACTGAAAAAAAAAGTGATTCAAAAGACCTTTTTAAAGCAAAAAAAAGAAAATGTACCTAGTTCTATTAACAACTCAAAATACAATGTAATATATTCTAAACGGAAAATTATATAATACATAATATGTAAATTACATATATTTAATAAATACATAAAACTCTATAATGAATAATGTTCATAACTATATAATAAACACCAACACATATCACATCATGGTACATAACACTGCTATGAAAAAAAAATTTAATTAGAAACATACCTTTTATATTTATTCGATAACATAGACGAATAAAACATAAAGATGACAAGAAGTTATGAAAACATGTTATGCAACTTAAGAAACAGTAAGAAGCCTTTTAAGTTATTTTAATATCATAAGGCACTGATTAGGAAGCAAATATCATTTTTTCATTCTTTTACATCAGTAATAAGTTTTTCATTAAAAACTTTAGCAGTGAAAGCCAAAACAAATTTATTATTGGCGCCTCTGATACAAGGTCACACAAAATAAACTTATTTAGCAAATTTCTAAAACATTAAAATCAAAAGTAGTAAATTACAGTAAACATATATTATTAAATTATTTTTAATTACAATACAAATTGTCTGAATTAAATTAAGAATAAGTGACTAAGGTTGTACAGCATTTTAAAACATATTTTATGTTGATACATTGGAAATAAATTATCAGCAATCGCAGTTAAATGAAAAAGCTGGAAATATAGTCTACATGATGTATAAATATGGTCAAAATTATTTGTTAAATATCTAAATTGATGCTTACCTTCTTCAAAATGAATATAAATACGATATATTTATGTTACTTTAAGGGAAACATTATATAATGCATAATTTCAATCCAATGTTTACATTTTTTTTTTTTTTTTTTACATTGGAGGCCGACTGACAGATTTGGCGACAATATAATAGGGTCAAAATAACATACGATTTTAAACCATGAAACCAGCATTAAAATTTAAATAAAAAGTGCACTTCATAGTTATAATCACACACAAAATTGAAATCAAATGTAAAATATAATTATTTAAACTTTGTCCTTTCGCAATAACAATAAAAAAAATCACATCAGCATCTACTTATCGCTGTTGGTATCTGTGTATTGACTATACACATTCTGATATTCATTTTGTACATATAAATCAGTTTGTCATTAATTGCAATACTTAAATGATAATACACATTTCGCTGAAACATGAACATTTATTTTTTTAACAATTATGAAAACATATGAAGCTGACCTTAATTCAAAAGTGCACGGTCTTGTGCTTGGAATCCATTCCAATAGACAAGAATTAATTACTCATTTTCTTTGTGTTTCTTCATTTCCCGGGAAACAGAACATACTAAAGTTATTTCTGGAACGATATGAATAGTTTGATGAAGTGCATCCACGCATATTTCTCGGAATTGGGCCGCAATCCATCAACACAAATGTAAACAACACAACTCTAAATCAGTGTTCTACTAGCAACAAGTGCCCTTAATTTGGATACAACACAGATGATGAGTTGGCTCCCCTTGCATAAGAAACAGTAAGAAGCCTTTTAATACACCCTATACTTTTATATAAGTTGCTGCTCACTCAGCAGATCTAAAGCATTTTCTTTAGCACACTTGATTTCTGTCCTCGTGAAAGCACAAACAACACAGCCGCCATATTGATTCAATCGTTTATCGATGAGGAATGATGGGTTCCAAGTGTTCGCTATGAGAACGATCGATCGCGAGCTCAGAGTGATCGTTATGTTTCAATTGAATACCAAAACAGCAAAATCAATCGCAACTGAAGACGTATGACGACTAACGATCACTAAATGCTTCAATTGAATGAGGCCTTTAGAGTTTGAGACAAAATAGTATTTTCTAAAGCAAACCTGTCAAAGTAGCTGAAAAACAAAAAAATTGCTTAAAACCAAACAGCAAGAAATTTCTATGTAGTTGAGAATTCTTCCATTAGGTAATCTGTAAGTGTGCTGGTCCATGGTGTGTAATTATTTTTTTCTTGACTGCATACAGAATTATATTTTTATAAATTTTGATATATTTTCTTAAATTAAAAAAATATCATTTAATCAATAGAAGTCTTCTTCACAGTAAAGAATTTACACCCCCAGTGTCTTTTCTGCACAGTGGTACTAGTCCATAGACATGGTCAATTTCTCTTTATTCTCATTAACTTTAAGGGCAAATGTTTTTGCATCATTGTTGTCGATTCAACGTTTGAAAATAATATTGCAAGTTTGTGTAGAATTATTATTTTACAATGATTTATTACAGACAAATGAGTATATTGCTTTGTACTTTGCATCTTATTTATCAAATGAAATATGAATAGCATTTTTTTAAAATTTCATTGTTTATTTAAAAAACAATATTTTGTATTCATCTTATGTATGGAAAGAATAATAATGTTTATTCCTATCAATTTTTAAAGGTCGTAGTCCACCTACTGCTCGTGTAGAACCAGAAAGACAAACTATTATGCAAGGCTCTTCTGGAGAGCTTAGATGTATTGTTAGTGGAATACCTAAACCAACTGTTAGCTGGAGTAAAGTTGGTGCGGATCTCTCTAATCGCCATAGGGTATGTGTCAAAATGGTTGTATGCTATTTTTGCCTCTAAGTGAAATTTAATATGAGAATAAATATTGATTTTTAAGATTAAAATCTGAAAAGGTCTGACACACACAGACACATCTGAATCTTGACTGCTAACATTGTTATAAAATAATCAAAATAATTTTCAAAACTAATGTATTACTTCTAAATCAAAAATCATAAAATTCCAGAAAAAAATATTCTTTATGCTTTCTTATATATTTGTACCTAAAGGACTTCAGAAGTATATTTGAAGTGGATAGGAAAAAGCTATGTTTTTTCTATTGAATATATTCAATGTTGTGACTTTTATTTCAAGTATTTTTAGAGTCTCTTAAAAGAATTTATGAAAAATTACCAGTCATAAGATTCAAGTATAGTCAATAAATATATTTCCTGAAATTTAAACTTGCAAGTTTAAAAGAGAAAAAATTAGTTTAAGTGAACTATATATATATATAGATATGCATGCACACATAAAACAGACAAGTATGTATATATATATGTGTGTGTGTGTGTGTGTGTGTGTGTGTGTATGGTTTCTGGAAGAATGAGCTATAGTTGCAAACAATTTGGTGAAGGTTTTCCTGCATTGATTCAAAGATGACATTTATAGGCAAATGCGGTTGGAGACAAGACATAATTTATTGTAGGACAATTAGTTCTTGGAGTATATTTTAGAGTTTGGTACGTCTAGCAATTAGCAATTAGCATCCGAACTCTTGGTAGAAGTTAAGCAGATTATTAATAAATCTAAAATAATAAGTCTTGAGAAGGGTGTAAAAGGCCCTTTTATTAAAACTAAAGGAGAACAGAGGACACACCTGGTGCTTACAACTCAACTCAACCAACACTTACGGTGAGTTAACTTAAAATAACAGTCAAATGTAAAACTTAAATTCAAGTAACTAGTAGCTAACGGCTACATAATTCAATTTAATGTGAATATCGCTCACAAACCTAACCTGTGAAGATATTCAAATATCAACAATTATAATGCAAGTTTGAAGACTACAAATCTTATCTGAGCTAGCAACAACTTAGTAATGTAGACTTGAGAGGCAGAACATGCTCTGTCTTCCAGTGTAAAAACCTCAGTTTAAATACACTCGAGCTAATTTACATTTTGGCATGGAAATGGAAAGAAGTGACAGTAAAAGTATAAATTATAATAAATGGTTAATTAAAATATTAAAAGCCCTATGACATATTCTCATTCACACATTATTGTGGGTGTGATATTCACCCCACAATTCTGTATAGCTTAGCACATCTTTACACAATTGACAACACAGAGAAAACGGCAATGCTCGTTATTACAGCAAGACAGCAGGGAAATAAGTAAAACATTCAGAAATGGTGTGGGAGCTTATATAACAGCTGACTGGGGAAAAACATTACAGTTATGTTGCTGTAATATCTAAGTATGAAGCACCCTTTTTTAATCACACTGTATGTTTTGCAAACCACATACATTAATCTTAACTATACATTTGTTACATTTTTATTTTCTTGCAATAGAACCGCAGGTTCACTGCTTTAAAAGTACAGGAAATTTAAAAAATTAAACTAAATTAAAAAAAAAGAACACTCTAACAGAAATGTAACTAGATTCAGAAACAAATTACTTTAACATGCCTGAAATCCATTATTTTGCTCAGAATAATTTGTCTGAAAGAAATAATTATAAATATTAGTCAAAGGCTTAGTCAGGTCAAAGTAGTAAGGGTCATCTTGTCTAAACCTTTTTAATTGATGAAAACAAATGTTTCCTTTATCATAAAGTGATTCAGTTCCCTTTATCAAAAATCAAATGAAACAGGAAAGAGAGAATCAGTAAGGGAAGGCAGTGGATGTAACAATGCCATTTCGAGCTGGGGTGAAACAGGAAAGGATAAAACAGTATTACATCAAAGAAATTTCTTCCTCCCTCTCGTTCTTGAAAATTTTACAGAAAATTATTAATCTACTGGATATATATATATATATTAATAATGTAGACCTGCTAAAGGTAGATGATGTGTCACACTTTCCAGTTCACTTCTATCTCTATTATTCATTATATTTCTTAAAATGTAAACTCTCAAAGATGTGGAGTGCAGATTGCACTCATAATGATGTGTAAATCAAAATATGTGTCTTAAGAATTATTTTATACAGAAGTAAAATGTGGTGGCTTTCTACTACATAATTATGCATTTTTTAAGCCGTCACCATCTACAGTCATTGGCATTCATTAAAATTATTTCGGTCTTCTCTCCCTCCTTCCTGAATTAATATAATGTAAACGGACAGCACAATACAAAATTTAAACTATATTACTTTATTAACTAAACTATTGTAATTAAATAAGAAAACTGGCTAGCTAGGATTTGGTGCAAAGTTACTGTTCAACCCCACAAGAATGTGATAGTTCATACACAGTTCACAGGATGTTTATGCACGTAACCCATTTTGCTGGATAGTTCCTGCACACACTATATTCCATCATCTCTGGCACAAATATCCTCAAATGCTGGTCTTTTTCACCCAGCATTTGACATTTGGTAGGCCATTATGGGAGAATGTGAATTTCATGAATGTGATCATAAAAAAAAAAAAAAAAAAAAAAAAAAAAATATTTTTGTAATAACCTCAGATAAAACAGATTATCTGAGGTTATTTGCACATTCTTTGTAATTATCTCTTGTATAACAGCTAGCTTTTTCTCCCACTTCCCTCTCCATAGTTTAAACATAGAATTGCTGTATTAGTATACTTTACTTTGAATTATTTCATGTATCGTAAGAATGCTTTCATGAAGACAAGCAAACATACAGTGCTAAATGTTAAATTAATTTTTCTTAAAAGAAAATTAAAATTTAGTGTTATCAACCACCAATAATTAATAGTTTGTGTACAGTAGCCATGGGAACTGGTGAAAGCAAGCTGATTCTTCTCATAGAGCAAATGCAGTTTGATCTCCTCTCATTGTAAGTGAAAACCTGATTATTCTTGAATGGTGTGGGTCTCTTGAGGAGGTAAAATTATGTCTCTTTTATGCATTTGAATGTTAGGTAATATATATGTGGGAGAATTATTACATCAAATGTTAGAGTCTAGCCTAGGTCTCGAGTCCATTGATGGTATGCCATTGATATATATATATATATATAATGTGTGTGTAAGGTGCATTAATAAAGAAAGAGGTGAAAACTATGCTGAGAAATAAATATTCCAGGCCAAGTGTCTAAGAAGTTACAGTGTGGAGAGGAAAGTCCGATACAAGTATAAGATCTGAGAGAAAGTTTAGCTATATGTTGAAATAAGCAGAAGATGCAGAACTAATCAATCATGGAGAGAATTGCACATCACTCAAATGGTAAATGAATGGGGGGAAAAAGGATTTGATGATCACTTTTGTCAAACAACCAGTATTATGATATTGTAAAGCATGCCAGGATGCCATTGTGCAAAAATAAATCAGATTATTCACCATGATAGATGCATAACAACAGAGAAAATTGCTGATGTTATCTACTTTAAGCATTAGATTTGTTCATGAGATGGTTGCAAAGAAATTAGACTTATGTAAAGTATGTTCCTTAATCAAAGTGTTTCACAGTTTAATGGAGAAGAAAAGGCTTGTTGTATGGCAATGCATCTTGGTATCTGCAACAATATGCCACAGAAGAGGATCACAAATCCTGCCATGGATAGTTGCTACAATGAAGCATTTTGAATTGAAATAAAAATGCCAGTTTGTCTGGTGGAAACTTTCAGATTCTTCTCTACCCAGAAAATTCAACATAAGTTACATTAGTGACAGAATAAGGTTATGTTGATAATTCTTCTTTGATCTGGAAAATCACCACCATTTGCTAACTTCATGAGCAGAGCTATAGTAAATGCACAGTGTTTTAGGGCAGCATTGACATCCTTGCAATAATGATCAGATCAACAGAACTGGGAAGTTTTCACTTGGCATTCTTCTTCATAATAATATTGAATTTCATATGCTAAATGCCACAATATTTACTAAGAAAAATCAACTAGGAAGTCTTTCACCATACTTCAGTTATTGCTCTTTCCTTTACTGTATTCCTCAATCTCCTCTTCCTTTTACCCTGTGATTTCACAGTTTTTGGTGAGCTAAAGCAAGCTTTAGGAAGGCAGAAATTCCTGACAAATGACAATGTAATGGAGAAAATTAGAAAAGTTCCCAGAAATGCCTAAGGACTTTAACAGGAACACCAGTGTACATTTGGTGTCATGTTTGAATAAATATTTAAATAACAGTATAAGTATTAAATCACTGTTGTTATAGAATCATAGACTGGTTTTTATTGAAGTAATTTTTTATGTAATTATTTTCTTAAATGCATCAGTATCTCAGTATTATATAAATCAAGTTATATAAAAGTAGTCAATAACTGTCTTTCAGTATACGATGATAGTGAATACTTGTTGTATTCAGTATTCAATATCAGATGATCAATATCTGTAATCAGGAAATATGTTGCAGTTAATACTATTATATCAATTACAATTAAGTATTTATATATCTCAGTATCTTGAAAATACTTTTGTTAGTTATTTTCTTTATTTGCATTGATAGCAATATATGTGAGAAGTTTAACAAAAGACCTATAATGAAATTTCAGACTGGAAAGTTTTTTTTTTCCTCTTATAGATTGAAGATGATAATTTATATATATCAGATGTTACTGTTGAAGACAGAGGTCTATATGTTTGTCGAGCTGAAAATAGAGATGGGTCAGCTCAAGCTTCTGCTATAGTGGAAGTTGAAAGTATGTGTTTTGTTAACACTTTTTTAACTTACCGTACTTTAAAATCTTTTTTACTTACTTTAAAAATTCCGTTTACCTGTTCATTGTTTTTGTTGTATTAAAACATTAATGTATTATACTTCTAGTGAGAGATATTATCTGTAAAAATGTTAATGTCTTTTAAAAGTCTAAAATCATATTATTTAACAAAAGAACATTGTTATTTTCATTTTTTGAAATCCTGGACGACTGTTAAAACAGCAGTAAAATTTGCATTTCTTTTTGATGGATATATGATTTTTAATATACTGAAAAGAACATTATTTGAATTGCAGAGGGATTATTCATTTTCTAAAATCAGTCAGTCAAAATCAACTAGACTGTATCAGGCACTTGCATAATATCTTAATGGCGATGAAAGTATATAAGCACCCTATTGATAGCAAACTTATGCTGTGAATACATATATGCAAAATAAATTAAAATACATAATACAGTTTAAAATTCATCCCATATTCAGTTGGAATAAACCGTGTGAAAAACCCAAAACCAGGAGCACAGTGCAAACACTGCAAGAAAAAAAAGAGGCAAAACATACCAAAACTAAAAAATGAAGTATAAAATTTGCATCTTTTACTGAATCATCATCAAGTAATTGGTGCATTGAAAGAAATAAAATATCAGCCCGTCTCTTAACCAATAAAGACATAAAGTGTAAAACTTGAAATAATTTCAGAAAAGCAGTCAACATAAGTGGGTTTTAGCATTAATAAACCAAAGTAATAATTGCAAAATTATAGCATCAAAAACATCAACAAATAAAAAAAGTCATAAAAGTATTATTTTAAACTGGCGAAGTCCAAAAAACAAGAGATGCAAATCAAAGCAATCTAGTATATGTAAATTTTCAAATTATGCAAGCTGAGATAAAAATGTTAATAAATCTTATGATCAAAATCGTAAAGCAATAAAGCTTAAAAATCTAACAATTTTTAGTTAAAGTAAAAAGCATGTAAAGCAAAAGTAATCCAACTTATAAAGAATTAATAAATGAAAATTTGATCTAAATATATATACATAAAATAAGAAAATTTAAAAAGAAGAGCTAGTTTTTAAAATATGTAACATTAAATCAACAAAAGTTTTGAAAAAGAAAATATATTCTACCTATTATAATACAGGAGAAATCCATAAATCCGCAAAGCTTGGGACCAGAGGTTGTGTGGATTTCTGGACAGAAAAGATAAATCATAATATTTAGACTAAAAGTGTAGAATAAATGAGGCGTATTAGATACATTTAATTAAATTATTATATACATTATTGCAATAACTTATTATATGCATTAAATTATTATGCATATATAAATTATTATATTATTCTTGTATTATATATACGCAGCATCGGGTTTGCCGATTCACTCATCAAAGATTCCGGGTTAGAATCACTGTTGCTGTAGAATTTCAACAGCTTTTCTTTATTTTTCTGTATATCATACACAATTGTATCGCAATTCCATGTGATTCTGCTGTAATCCGAGGAGTAGCACCTGTCTCCATCTTTTGCAGAATTTGCATTACTGTCAATGCAACGTGTTTACGTTTTTAAACGTTGCAAGCAGTAAAATCATGAGTGTGTTTCGTATCTGTAATTGTATTAAAAAGGGCTGAAATTTAAAATATTCTTAATTTAACCACAAATTATCCAAAGCATTAATTTAAACAGATGAATATTAATAAAAATAACTTGGAAAAACTTCTATTGTAACATTAATATGGTATAGTAAAAATTAATAATTCGTAAAAGGGAAAAAGCATTGAATTACTTGGATTATAAATCTTAGAAGAAATTCGAAAGTAACTGCCATAAAATTAAGTGAAGAATAAGTTTGCTTCATTTCAACATAACATTTAGTTCAATGATCTATAGTATTTAGTACCCAAATAATATTTTTTTTTAAATCAACGACAGAGAAAAATCGATTTTGAACTGCTTTTTACTTTGTATTTATTCATTTATATCTAAAGTATATTTTTAATGTATATAACACAATAACATCATATAAGAGTATGAAACCAAAATATTTTTTACATAAAAGTGACAAGATTGGAACCTTAACCACTTATGTTGTTACTGTTGCAAATCATTTGTAAATAATTGCATAAATGGAAATCACTTCTCTGTATCTTCCTTTAATTTTTATTTCCTGTATTAAATTCAAAAAGTTACTTTTATATTTTAGTTTGTGTTTTAATAGTTTATTTTTCTAGTCAGCAAAAAATGTTTATTGCTTAGTTTAATAACACTTTTAATGCACTACAAAACTCTTAATTTATTAAATTTCAGTTTACCTGAGTCTTTTGCTGTTATCAGAAGTTACAAAAACTAAAATGATATTACCATTTTAAAATTTGTTAAAGAAAAAACAGCATCTTACTTCAGTTCTTTTATTTTTTCCATTAAAAATCTCATTCTGAATCAATTTAATCGCAATTGGATTTTCAATATTTAAAAGGGGGGCATCTGTCCCCGGGCGCAGAATCCAAGGGGCGCCAAAACTGATGTTACGATTTTAGAATTAAATGTTTTCCTACCTTGGCAAGCAGTGTGGGCGCAAAATCTGCAGTTGCCCCTGGGCACTGAAAACCCTAGCTACGACTCTGTAAATTATAATAATTTTTTTGGTTATGTCTTCCAGAAAAGTTTTTAAATATAAAACCCTCAGATTGGCAAAGCCATATATATATAGCCTAGAACATTTTTCGTGATGTCTGTAAGAAAACATCTGCGCATCTTCAAATATGTCCAAGAAATTGAGGCAATATATTAAGATTTGCACTTATTCTTTCTCATATATGAATCAATTTTTAGCTTGAGGGGTTTTTCACCACCTTGACAGTCCTTAGCTATTGCAGATAGCATTTTCATGACCTTTTGAGTTTTTTGCATGACCCATATTTACCATTCTACTTTGTTCATCTAATTATTTAAGAATCTATTTTAAAAAAAGCTCATTCTTAATATCTCCTTTTCATTTATTTTATGGGTATCATTCGAAAACTACTCATGCTATTGGATAAGGGGTAGGTCTTCAACCCAGGCACCCTGGTGCTACACCAAAAATTTCTCCCGTGTATCTTGAATTTTACTTACCTAAAGAAAAATCATAGAACCTGTAGAGATACTTTCCCATCAATACCGCATTTGTCTGAGGAATAAGTGCAAATGATTGATGTATGCAGCTGGGAGGAGTAACTTCACCTAGTTTTAATCATTTTAAGCTAGGTCAAATTATAGTACTATGTCAAATTTAAGCTACGTCAAATTCTGAGCATTTTTCATACGGTGGCAAATGGGCATTTGTCATTGTAATGTCTTTGTGAAATGAAGGTATTTACTTAAAGTCCTCCAAAAAAGCTGGTGGTTAGTGAATAAAATTATATTTCTCAGATTCCTATTCCTTTTTGCGCTTATGGTTAAAACAGAGTAAACAAATAGCTTTTGTGTGCTTCTCTTTTTAAAATAAGTCATCTTTAAGTAAAAATTATGTGAAACCATTTATTGGTTTAGATAATTCAAGCTTGATATGCGTGCAAGAATTTCTTAAAGCATGCATGAGTTGGTATTCAGTTCTCCGCTAATTTACATGCATGTACTGATAACTAAAGCCCTTGACTGTAAATGATGTAAAAAGATTTATGCTTTTGATTTCAGGAAGAGAAGTGCCAGCCATTGAATTATATCCTGAAGCTACTCAAGTAGTCTTACGTGGTGGAAGCACCTTATTCCAATGCAGAGTCACTGCAGGTATCCCTACTCCCACTGTGGAATGGATCAGAGCAGATGGCAGCCCTTTCACAAGCAGCACAGAAATTCTGAATGGTGGAGTAATTAGGTATGCAAGTTTTAATAATTTCCACTAGTTTTATCTGAAATTAAATTTTTTGTTACATATGTAAGTATGTTAGTATGTAAAACAGTTATTTGTTATTTAATAGACTGATCATAGATATAATATTGATAAAAGACAAGCAAGATTACAAAATAATTATTTATTTCAAAACAGGTTCAGAAACCATTGGTGGTTCTTTACACTTTAACTTCATAAACAAAACTAACATTCTTTTTTTAAAGAAAAGAAGTGCCCTCCAATGATGATACAAATCAGTCATCTGTGGAGTTTCTCAATGCTTATTTCAACATACAAAAAGAATTCAAATGTAAGAAAGCAACTTACATATCAGTATCAAGTACATTTACCTGATGTAAACATAAACAGGAAAAGGGAAACTATAAAATTAACAAACATAGTTAACAGCATAACAATTTAAAAGTTACTCAAAAAGTAAATATAAAATTGACTTATAAACAGTAAATTATAAATATTAATTCAGCTAATTAACTAATAGTTATGCATGTAAACATGAAGAATATTAAAAAAGTTACTAAATTAGTTAATTGTCAGTCTGATATATCAAGGGGGTATATCAATTTGCAATTTTTTAATATTCATGTAAACATGAAGAATATTAAAAAAGTTACTAAATTAGTTAATTTTCAGTCTGATATATCAAGGGGGTATATCAATTTGCATTTTTTTCCCCTTAGTTTTAGGTGTATGGAAGAAATGAGCATTTCTTAAATCCAGAGGGTACTGGATTTTCCATTTTTTCGAAATCTGTTTTATAAATGTTATCTGATATTTTTTTGTTTGATTAGACTTTCTCTTGTTAGAGAAGTATTCAGAACCTCAGCAAAGTTTTATGCATATTCAACTTAATGTATGATCAATAGAAAATTAGCTGCTTTAAGTGGTTCAGATTCATGTAAATCATTGTAAACATAGGTCAAAGGTTGTCTATTCACAATATTTTCGACTTCTGTGTAATCATAAATTCTTAAAAATTCAGTTGATCTTTTTAAATGGTTTCTTAATGCTTTTATGAGTTATCCATAGAATCCTCTCCATCACTGTGCAAGCTCAGCAATAAATTTCCAAATCAAACCTCAGTTGCTAGAAAATTTTGAAAGTCTGCTCCTTTAATTATGCTGTAAAAATACTGTAAATCTTTGTCAGCATATTTTGAATGTCTTTGTGTTATCTAAATAAAAGGTGTGATGGTTCCCTGATCTTAAAAGGAAACCTTGGTGAGCCAAAATAAATTTATTTGCAGACATATTGAAAATGAGCTCTAGATGTAACACTTGTGTAACAGTATATATAAACAATATGATGCATGATTTCTGAATGACATTTCCAGATTTCATGTAAGCAGGACCTGTGAAAGCCACATCAGTAACATAGAAAGGTAATGTTTTCGCAATCTGGTTTTAGGTAACCGAGTTAACATTTGTTTCACTGGTTGTACTGCATATTTCAACATATTTTGAAATATGTTTAATGCAAAAACGTTAAAATGAAATATCAGTTACTATGAAATAATGCAGTGATCCCGACAAACTACTATGTATTTTCATGCATTTTAACTCTTAACACAAAGCGAAAATCCCTTAACAGGAAAAGATTTTGCTTCGGGAATGAACAAAATATTTAAAACACCAGCCACACAGGCAGGATTTAAGAGGGGTGGGAAATGAAAGAGAGGTGGTTTCACATGTTTCTTAGAAAGGAGGCTAACTTGGCCTTGAAATACCCTTGGAATAGCCTGTGATATGAGCCAATTTTTGTTTATCTAAGCTACTTCACCCTCCACCCCTACAAGCGTAACACAAAAACATCTCATCTGTCATTATTTGGCTTTGGAATTCGGTGACAAGTGCATCGCAGTTTGAGTAAAAATCAGAGATTTTGGTTCACTTTTTTTCTTTCCTATTTTAGAATAATTTTTTTATGAGTGCAATGGCAAAGAGCTCAAGGGGGAAGCAAACTGTTATATCGCTTAAAATGAAGATGGAGCTTTTTAAGGCTGTTGATGAAAAATGCAAATCTCTAAAGACTTTGCTAATTTTAAATTATCAACAATAATTTAAAAAAACAGCAAATTACAGAAATGTTTGAATGGAGTAAGTTTGAGCCACAGCGAAATCGGATGAGAACGGCCCAGCACGAGGATTTAAAAACGTCTTTACTTGTTTGGTTCAAACAAGCGAGATCTCAAAATACTCCCATATCAGGACCTTTAATGCTAGAAAGAAGCAATGAACTTGCTAAACGAATGGGTATTATATTTTCTGCAAATCCAGGAATGTTTCAAGAAAAGAAATAGCATAGTACTAAAAAATGTTTGCGGTGAAGCTAATCAAGTGTAACGACCATGACAGCAAATTGGTTTCAGTCTACGTTGCCTTCAATACTTGAAGAATATGAAGCGAAAGATGTTTTCAACATGGAAAAAATTGGATTATTTTACAGCTGCTTACCCAATAAAACTTTATCATTTAAGGGACAATAGTGTTCAGAGCGGAAACTATCTAAAGAACGAATTATGGTATTGGTAGGATGCAATTTGGATGGTTCTGAAAAACTACTCCTATTTGTTATTGGCAAAAGTTTGAAATCACGTTGTTTTAAAAATGTAAGAACATTGCTGGTCAGATATACAGCAAACAAAAGGGCAATGATGGTAGCTTATGATGTTCACCGATTGGATCATAAAGTTAGATGAGTGGTTCTTACGAGAAAAGTGTAAGGTTACAATGATAATTGGTTACTGCCCGGCTCACCCCAACATTGTATTGAAAGCTATAAAGCTTATCTTTTTGCCTTCGAATACAACAAGTGTCTTGCAGCCTTGGGATCAAGGGATTATGCAAAACGTGAACTTTTTCTACCAAAAGGAATTGCTTTGAAAATATTTACTCGCAACTGAAGCAAATGAAGATTTCTCAATCAATTTATTAGATGCTCTTCATATGTTGCACTCTGCACAGAATTCAGTGACTCCAAGGACAATTAAAAATTGCTTTTGTCATGCAGGATTCTCAAAAGAATCAAATTCCAAAAGAAATGGAGGAGGAAGATGTTGAAACTGAGCCAACGCTTAATGAAATGTTTGAGGAAGTTTCTGTATTATTGGACTGTCCTACTATATCATCAGAACAATTTGTTGCAGTAGATGATGATAATGTGTGTACCGCCCCCAATTATGGATGTTTTGGAGTTTATTCAAAGCTAAAAAAGCCTCATTGATGCAGATTCTGATGATGGAAATGAAAGGAATAATACAGCTCCTGTTACCACATCATCTGAAATGAGGAACATCATGAGAAGTATTCGCAGTTATTTATATGTGGATTCCAATGGTGAAACGATTAATAAAATGGATGACGTTGAACCATTTTTTGACAATCTGATGCTAAAAAACATAGTGCAAAGAAAAATATCAGATTATTTTCCAAAAACTTAAGTGTTTTGTTTTTCAAAAAATTTGAAAATTTATTATTAAATTTTAGAAAGTTCTTGTGGATGTTTTTTGTTCTATTGATTTTTATTAAATACATGTATATATGCATATCTATGTAATAACATGAATTCTTTTAACATGAAAAAAATATTTCAGTCCTCTCAGTTTCATGTTAAACGATTTTCATTGTATTAGACAGTTTCCTAAACCTTTCTTCATGAACTGGCATCCTTTAGGAATTCAAAACTTCTATATAATGCAAACTCCTGTATTAATGTATAATGTAATGATATAATGTTCTGATTTTCTTTTTCTCTCTGCAGGTTTAACAGGGTTACTGGTGATGAAGAAGGAACATACATTTGCACTGCTGAAAATTCCGGTGGTAGAGTTACTGCAAAAGCAGTTCTTCAGATCCAAGGTAAATATTACTAATAAGTATTATTTCTATTATTAATAAGTAAATTATTATGAATTTATTTATTTTGAGAAGTACTTTGTCCATAAATTGCATGAAAAAGATGTAATTTTTTATACATGAAGACCCACAAGATTACTTAACCATTACAATAACATCTGTGGTTCTGTGAGTTCTCCATGATGAACTAACAATTCTAATTTACATGTTTATGTATAAAAATATTTCTTGTCCATGTTTTCATTACTTTATTTAATGTCAGTGGTTAAATCTTCCGTACACTTGAATTATCTATACTCAAATTAACTGGGACCATTCATATATGTTAATTTTATTAATTAATTTATTATGTTATCATATATGTTAATTTTATTAATGTTTATCTTTTTTTAAGGTCATATGTGTATTTATTAGCGATGCAAATGAGAGTTTTTGTGTTTTGTTTATTGTACTTTATTTTTGTTGCAATAAAAGGATTGAATATTTTTTATCTCTATAAAACAAAATATGAAACAAATATTTTGGTAAAATAAAACAATAATTTTTTTCTTATTTATCAAAATACATAGCTGTTTTTTGTACCAACTAAAGTAAAACAAAGAAATTATTTTTTACTTTAGACCCTTAAATTAAATGCATAACTGTGTTTCTATTTTTAATTTATTGCAATTAAACAATGATTATTTTATTAATTTATATAGTGTACTTCAATATAACCTAGAAACAAATTATTTTAACTTCAACTAAAATTAATGTTGGAAGAAAAATTATACAAACAGTTTAAAAATCTGTACACAAGAGTTATAAATTTAAATGTATGCTGACATCGAAACATGAATATAAATCACTTATGAAATGGCAGCAGATTCACAAAATAGTTACTATATAACATCTAGACATTTCTTACTGCAATCAACTACCATTTAAGGTGTGTAATTTAAAATATCTAGTCAGATTGCTGCATGTGCCAATTTAATTTCTTTGCTCGTTTTAAATAATCTTAAAATGTTGGGTTAGCACTCTTTCTTTTTTATAATGCACGTGCGCACACGCATGCACACAAAAAAGAAAAAAAAACCAAAATGCTACTTTAAATTTTTTTAACTTCTTTAATGAAAATCGTACTTTTGCAGTTCTATGGTAACACTAAAGAGGCTATCACTTCTAGGGGACACGCGCGGCTACGTGGGACAATTCCGAGAAATGAGATTCTAGTAGCACTGCTTTAAGGGGGAGGCTTCCGGGAAATGTTTCGTCTAGCTAGGAGGAACATGTCTTGGCTACGAGCAACATTTTAAAACTTTTCCAAAAATGTTCCGGCTGGAGACGTGTTCCTCGAATGTTCAACCAATCAGACGAAAGTTCTGCTTCTGAAGGATCACGGGTAACTTTCAATATGGCGATGGCTCTCACTGTGAAGTCATGGGCGGTGGAAATAGAGGCCAATTTAATTATTCCTGTTTTGTTGTAATATAACTGCCTGAGTCAGTTTTAAAATGTTTATATATTCATTAAATATATAATCGTGGAAATTTCAGAGTTGACAGTATTTTACGACGTTCTTGCAGTTTGGATTTGTTTACAAATTGTTTGTCGCCAAAAGTTTGCCAAATTTGTCATATTTTGTGCTGATCGTGTATTATCACTGTTATATAATAGAATTTTATTTCTTAAATTTAAGTTGAATAATTTTTAAAATCCGTTTATATATGCGCGGCTATTTCATGTTATTAATGAAATACTTATTGGATTATAATACATTAGAAACTATACTTTTATAAATGCTACATATTGAAACATTGGAAATTTATGGATTTATTATTATGCATGATGAAAAACATTTGTATATACATTCATTAATATAATCTTATTCTTTATATTAATACTAATAAATATATATTAACAACTTCTAAACCATCTCATCTCTCTATCTGTATGTAAATATATGACTTATTAATTGTCTGTATATATATATATATATATATATATATGTCTAAACCATCTCATTTCTCTATCTGTATGTAAATGTATGACTTATTAGTTGTTTATATATATATATGTGTGTGTGTGTGTGTGTATGTATGAATACAAAAATGAACATTGCCAAAAAGTTTATTTGAAGTTACTTTTAATTCATATAATGATCATGTAATTGGCAGCATTCAGTTCTTTTCAAATTATTATGGATATGTAATAATCAGTTGAAAAATAATTGATGAGCATTTTTTTTTTGTCTGTTTGTTTATTTGAATGGACAAAACAGTAATTATGAGCCATAAAGTTAGTCAAGAAAATGCTTTCACCAGGTCACAAATTTTCCAGTGAGCCATCAAATTTTGATTGGAATGCACACAACAGAAAATACACCTAAGTAATGTCTGATAAATAGACTTATCCAGCACACGTTTTAAACTATTCTTGGTGTATACAGAATTTGGCTATTACTGATGTAATTGATTGCTATAAGCAGAAGTGTGTTTATCTGTTACTTGAAGTGCCAGAGTGGCGATCAAAGTGATTAACTTGATAGCAATCACCTTTCTATTATCTTCCATTACTAACAATAAAGTTTAAAACAAAAAGAGTGTGAGCGATACAAAACAACACGAAGAAGCAAACATCACTTGAAAGGAAACATCACTTTCAACAATCTGAGCCATAACTGATTCTTGTTTGGCTTTCAACCTGTTTACCAAGTGAAGATGGTAACCCTATTTCGCCAAAGAGCGTTTCTCAGAACTGTTCCACCAAACGTTTTGTTCCGGCAACAAATATCATATGTGATAAGGGTTTAAGTATTCATACTATATATTGCTTTAATTTGATTTAACTTTAAAAATGCCCGTAAATAAGGTTTGTTAAAGTATGTATTTTGGGCCATTCTGACTATTAATTGCTTGAAAAAAATGTATCAAAAGTAAGAGTTTTCAGTTCTTTAGATTTTTTAAATTATCTGGATCTTCTGAGATTCTTGTTATTTAGATATTCAACATGAGTCACTTTCATAGTTTGATAGTTTCATATTTTAAATGATTTAAATTAAGAATAAAGGTATTAGATTATGAAATTTAGAGAAATGTTTCCGCTGATTTACAGGTGCACCAGTTGTACGTATAATACAAGCAAATCCATATCGTGTGCGACCAGGAGAAACCATCCGGTTTGAATGCTTTTCTGAAGGTGATCCAAGACCTTCTGTTTCTTGGAAAAGACTTGACAAGCCTTTCGCTTCATATACTCCTGCTGAAAGAGCTGAAGATGGACAGGCTATCCTAGAAATTCGAAGAGTGTCTCAGCAGGATTCTGGAGTATATATCTGCCAAGCTCAAAATACAGCAGGTGTTACCGAAGAACGTATTCAACTGATTGGTGAGTTTATGTAATTATATCTGATAAATTAATATTGTTAACATAAAATATATAATTTTATTAGTAGTTTCTATTGCAGATATTAAGGAAATTTTAGATGTTGTTTTTAGATTCCTTCTTATATAAGGGTTCCTACTGATTATTGCCCTATCCAGAAAAGTTTTACCTTATCTAAAAGGTTTGCTACTGATATTATGCATATTTCAAAGCTGTGTAATGCTGACCTAGTGAGTTACTTTAAAAGCACATTGTTTGATGAGATGAAAAGTAATGTACTCATGGAAGCATTAAAATTACATAACTTCAAGAAACAGTTTGGGTAGGGGGATATCAGTTAGTTATTTTAACTCAAAAATAGTTCAAATACAAATTTCAAAAGTTGTCATGAAGATTTTAGATGAACTGGATGTAACTTTTTCTGGCCATTAGAGCCATACAGCATCATCCTACTGGACTCTTTTATATTAAGCTTTATAAATAAGGTAGTCTTTATTAAATTTTTATTGTTTACCTTTATATGTTATCTATTGATAAGAATACTTGCACTTTAATAAATAATTACTTCAGTTTTATTTTTGTTTCTATTGGAGGAAATTTAAAATAAAAGAAATAAATTATCTTTCAATATAGCCTGCTGTACAATAGGTACCATTTAATATGATCATGTTGGTCTATGACTCTTTTGAAGGAGAAAAGGAGAGCAATGAGAAAATCATCCTTCAAAATGACAAAATTCAACTAATTTAATGTACATATAAATTGAAACATATTCATATCATTTCAGGTAGACAAAAGAGTTGATTGTCTGCAGTTGTTATGCAAGAATTTGTTTTTGCACTGTTCGCATTCAAAATGTTTCTGGAAATTATTTGATCAATGCTGTACCCATAATCTTAATACAGTCAAAAGTCATTAAAACGGACGTCCATAATCTGGAATGATCTATAATCCACACCTCAAAGCTACAAACTTTCTACGCATTCCTAAACGCATAATGCGTTTACGCATGTACGTTTAATGTATAACGGACTAAATCTTTAATCCGGATGTCCATAATCCGGAATTATCTATAATCCGGACCTCAAAGCTACAAACTTTCTGCGCATGTGCATAATATGTTTACGCATGCACGTTTAATGTCTAAAATTATCTAATAATCTATTTCAGTTAACGTTGCAGATTGCGTTGTTCCTTAACCCTTAACTTCCCACTGTTGCATTTCTGCAACATATGATTTATTTTAATTTACAGACTCAATATTTTTTTAATTACCTACAAATCACTTATCTAAGAAAAAAAGGTTACTGCAATGAAATACATGCTAAATTTGTCACTAGATAGTAGCACATTTTCCCCAGAAATCGCAACAATTATAAAAATCTCTGATTCCTCAAGAACTGTGTTGTTTGCTTTAAAAAGAATCCATTATATTTGATGCTTCCTCTCCTCTTGTTTATTGACAAAAAAAAAAAAAAAAAAAAAAAAAAAATTACCAGGTAAGAAGTTTAAACATTTTATGTTCATTTAAAAAAATTTTGATTTTCTAATAGAAAAATTTTGAAAGAAATTTGATTTTAATTATATGTTGCAGGTCTGCAACATTGGTCTTGGTACCATTTTGACTGGCAAAAGCTTCTACCCAGAGAATTGTAGTATTGGGTTTGGATGAGGTTTAAGTTTCTTGAAAATTGCTGGTTGTCATTTTTACCATTGGGTTTTAGTTTTAAGAGTTTTTTTCAAAAAAAAGACAAACTGATATAAATTAGATTTTTGGTGGTCGTGTGCTTAATGCATGATATAATTAAAGAAAATAAGAGTAGACAATCTCCTATAACAAAAGAATATATTAAGTACTAAATTACAATTTAAATTACATTGCAGAGATCAACGCAGAGCTCGGAACACAGTTCATGCTACCGTCGCGTACAGTTGTCTGACGAGAAGTCTGAGTGAGTAATGACGTCGCTTTGCTGCTCCGATTAAGAACTGGATTTTACACGTGGCGCCATCTCATGAATAGAAGTTGAAGTATCTGTCGGAACGCCACAGTACTCCCCCCCCCCAAGTACCATCGGTACGTTATAAGTACTTTGGGTTAAATTTAACCTTTCTTCCAGATCTGGTAGTTTTAGGTTGCTCTTTTTGGATGTAAGCTTTCTTCCGGGAGTGATGTTGATGAGGAAGTTGTTGGATCTTGCATTAGAAATGCTGGTTTGAGACGATCGATTCCAATCACTGATTGTTTGCCATTGCAGATGATGGTGAAATGTTTCGGTGTTCGTTTGACAACTTTGAATGGACCATCATATGAAGGTGTTAAAGTTGGCTTAATTGCATCGTTGCGCACGAATACGTGCGAAGATGTCTCAAGCGCAGGATGTACAAAATAGCTTGGCTGGTTATGCGAAGATGCTGGGGTTGGCGAGATATTGCTCATGGTCTCACGTAAACGTTGAAGGAATGTTGGAGGGTCGATAACTGGAGTAGATTCTGGGTGAAAGAATTCACCTGGCAGACGGAGGGTTGCACCATATAACATTTCAGCACAAGTGCTACCAATGTCTTCTTTGAATGCTGTGCGAAGACCAAGCAAGACTAGGGGTAAGGCTTCTGTCCAGTGTGTGCTACTGTGGCACTTCAGACCTTGTTTGAGAGATCGGTGAAAGCGTTCCACCATCCCATTTCCAGATGGATGGTATGGTGTTGTGCGAATATGGCGAATGCCAAGAAGAGAGGTGAGGGATGCGAACAAGTGACATTGAAATTGTCGGCCTTGGTCAGTAGTGATGGTGGTAGGCATGCCAAATCTTGAAAGCCACTGGGAGATGAATGCTCGAGCTACAGTTTCAGCGGATATATTTTCAATAGGAATGGCTTCAGGCCATCTTGTGTACCGATCAATACAAGTGAGGAGGTAAGTGTAACCATTTGAAGGAGGCAATGGGCCAACCAAGTCTAAGTGCACATGATCAAAGCGTCTTGCTGGAAGGTTAAATTGTTGAATGGGGCTGTGAGTGTGACGGGATACTTTACACCGTTGACATCTAATACATGAACGAGTCCATTCTGTGATGTCTTGATTCATTGCTGGCCAGACAAATCTGTCTGCGATCAGCTTTTTGGTGGCACGGATTCCAGGATGTGCCAAATTGTGCAAGGCATTAAACACTTCACGTCTAAAATTGACAGGAATATAGGGACGTATTCTATTTGTTCTCTATGTCACAGTAAATTTTAAGCGTTGGATCAATGTGCAGCGGTTGTAACTGAAGGGAGGTTTGTGGATTTGAGATTAGGTTCTTGAGTTCCTCATCATGCAATTGAGCTTTTGCAATTTCAGAGAAATCTGGGGTAGTGAGGTTGATATTGTTTACCCGAGACAAGGCATCAGCGACACAATTATCAGTACCAGAGACATATCTGATATCTGTACTAAACTGGGCGATGAAATCCAGATGTCGAAGCTGACGAGGAGAACATGAGTCAGAGTTTTTTCTAAAAGCGAAGGTTAATGGTCGATGATCGGTGAAAATGATGAAGTCGTGTCCTTCCAAGTTGTGCCGGAAGTATTTAACAGCACAGTACACAGCAAGTAGCTCCCTGTCATATGTGCTGTATTTCCTTTCTGCAGTAGTAAGTTTTCTGGGGAAGAATGCCATTGGGCAAAGTCCTTTAGTGGCCATAGGAGCCATAGGAGGCCATAGGCCTTTAGGCCATAGGAGCAGGCTTGAAGCACTGCTCCTATGGCCATGTCAGATGCATCTACCATTATAGAGAGCTGATCACTAGATGAGTGATAAGAAAGTGTGGCTGCATTTGCCAGATCGTGTTTGCATTGCACGAATGCTGCAGATGCAGATTCAGTCCAAGGGACAGCTCGTTGATTTTTTTTTTTTTCTATTCTTCAGAAACTCATGTAGGCAGGCTTGTGTTTTTGCGGCATTTGGCAGAAAGCGTCGGTAGAAATTTAACATTGCTAGAAAACGCTTCAGTTCAGAGATGGTTTTGGGCTGAGGTAGGTCGTTAATTGCTTTGACTCTTTCCGGTAAAGGTTTGACTCCATTCTGGGTGATAAGACATCCAAGAAAGGAAACTGAGGGTTGACCAAGTACACATTTGGATGGATTTAGTTTTAATCCATGATCTTTAAGGCGAGTGAAAATCTGACGCAGATGTTGAAAATGTTCTTCCGCATCTGTAGATGCAACCAGGATATCATCAAAATATGGGATGCAGAAATCGAGGCCAGACAGTACTTGGTGTATGAAACGCTGAAATGTTTGGCCAGCATTGCGAAGGCCAAATGGCATATATAAGTACTCAAAGAGACCAAATGGTGTAGTCACTGCAGTCTTGGGCACATCTTCAGCATGCACTGGGATCTGATGATATGCTCTGGCAAGATCGAGGGTAGAAAATATGTTTGTTCCATGAAAAAGATGGGTACAGTCTTGGATATGTGGGACTGGATATCTGTCAGGGACTGTGACGGCATTAAGTCGACGATAATCTCCACAAGGCCGCCAGTCACCATTAGACATTTTGTTTTTTTAACCATGTGAAGTGGACTGGCCCATGGACTTTTAGATGGGCGAATGGTTCCCTGTGCTAGCATGAATTCAAATTCTTTGCGAGCAGCTTTTAGCATCTCTGGAGAAAGACGACGAGGCTTGGAAAATACAGGTGGGCCATGTGTTTCAATGTGATGATACACTTCTGGCTGATGAGTATGCTGCCCTGATTTGGATGGGTTTAAAATGTCAGGGAATTCTGCTAATAACCGATGAAACCGTGTGCTGCCCGATACAACACTTATGTTGGTAGGTACGTTCGATATGTGAGAAGCTTGGCCCTGTGATGTCAGCTGAGTTGTAGCATCAATTAAGCAATTATTCTTGACATCCACTAGAAGGTGGAAATGTGTCAAGAAATCGACACCAATAATTGCTTGAGTTACATCCGCAATAATAAAAGGCCAGTTGAAAGTCCGGCGCAAGTTT